ACTAAACAAAAAAGGGGAATACAAGTGAACGACCATTTTGTATCTGTATATTCAAAATAGTTAGGATAGATATACAGCTGCATTCTCTTAATTTATGGTCTTACAAAGGACCGTAAATCAATTTGGGATTAGGTATTAAGAATATTAAAACTGTTGAAACTGTCTGTTTGAGAATAAATATCCTGGAAAATGTATTCATAACTTGCAATGACCATTTACTTTTTGGGCTTTTAAGTCTTTGTTGACTGCTATAAGTCTTTTTCCCCAGAATCATGTACATTAATATTCGTACCAATTTGGAGTGTAGATGGAGCTTTGACACTTGCTCATGAGTCTTGGGAAACACTTGTTTATGGTCCTGCAGAATATATTTTTCACTCTAAGTAGACCTACTTCACGTCTGTGAATTGGGTCAGACAGTTGGGCCAAAAGCATACAGTATGTCTTACTTATGTGAAATCTTATGCACTTATCATTTACCTTCATGGAATTCAAAGGCACCTATAAGAAGATGCTGCTCTGCCTTTGAGCTGGCATCTTTTTTTATGCCATGTACAAAAGAAGATCCTCAGTGCTTTCTAAATTCACTGTTTCTTATGTACCATGTGCTGGGCACCATTGTGCAGAGTTAAGTCTCCCCCTTCCTCTGCGGTGGAATCAGCAGATCTTTCAGGGCTCCCTTGTAGCTCAGCAGATCCAAAGGGCACACTTCTGCCCATTCTGATCCTGTCCCCTTTGTCTTGAGTACAAACACAGCTATTTCTCTAAGACTGCCAGAGGTGTTATAATAATAATCATGATATGCTTCGGCACACACTATATAAAGAGATAGATGCTGAATTCATCTATCAATAATGAAATTATTAAGACAACTGTTTAATGTTGACCCAGCTGGGAAGAACTGACCAGGATGATTCTGTTGTGCTAACAGAGTTGAATTCTGCCTGGCCACACTAGTGTAAGCTTGTGTCATAGACACCATTCTTTTTTTTTATAATAGCATTAAGATTTGCATTAAATTTTATGTCTATCACATGGAAATGATTTTATTTTTAAAAGGAAACAAGTGCTCTCTCAGTCAAAGTAGTAATCATATCCAAGATACCCATAGCGTTGTGCAAATAGGCAGGGCATGGTCTGAAAGTCTGTATCCTCCAAAATTCTTGTCTTGAAATCATAACTCTGAATGTGATTGTATTTGGAGACAGTGCCTTTGGCAAGTGATGAAGTTATGATGAAAGAGTCTCAGTAAATGTGGATGATACCTTTAGATCCCAGATTGCTGCCTGGCCCCTTCTGCCACATGGAGATATAGACAGAAAATGCCACCTATAATCCAGAAGATGGACTTTCAATAGAAACCTGATCTGTCTTGGTCTTGGCCTTCTCAGTGTCAAGAAGAGTTTATTTGCTATTATTATTATTATTATTATTATTATTATTATTATTATTATTGTATTTTTAGGGAAGGGTCTACAGGGTGTTCAGGGTCTCACTACTAGATCGGACTAGTAGTGGTCCGTGTGTTTATAGCCTCCCAAGAGCTGGGATTACAGGTGCGCGCCATCACGCCCAGTCTCAATTGTGTCTCAATGTATACCGGGGGCAGGGCTGTCATGGCAGGCCCAGGGATTGAATTCCTGGCCCCTGTGCCTGCTTGTAGGCACTTTAATCCACTGAGCTATTTGGCTGGCCCTATTGCTAGTATTTTGTTATAGCAGTGCAAATGTATTAAGACAGATAGTAATCTGACTGTTATCCAGTGACATGCATGAATTGCTAAACAGATGATTGTCTAGTTGTTGAAAGTTTGGAATATGCCCACTTTTAGTACCCATTATAGACATAAACAATCCCTCTTAGACCAGCATTTGTTTAGTAATGGGGTTACCAGCTATTGTCTTTCAGCAAAAATAGATACCCTCAGATGATGGCCCATAGGTGTGTTCTGGACTTCTGCTTCATTGTTTACAGCCCATGAGCCACAAATGGGTTATATATTCTTAAAAAATCACAAAAAGTCAGAAGGATATATTTTATGGCATGTGCAAATGATATTAAATTTAATTTTCAATGGTTAAAAGTAAAGTATTAACAGAACAGCTACACTTTTCACTTCTGTGTTGTCTGTGGCTGCTTTATTGCCTCAAAGGCAGAGTAAAGCAGTTGTGATAGAGACTAGGTGGTCTGCACAGCCTAAACCATTTAGCATGTGGTACTTTGTAGAGAAAGCTGCTGATCTCTGCAGTGGAGTTTTGAGTAAAGTTATTATCTTTAATCAGCCTATCAATGCATTTGTATTAAAGTCTTCTGTGTACCAGTTACAGTTCCTTCTCTATTCACTCTCAAAACTCAAATCCTTAATTTGGTAGAGAGGACAGACAAGGCAATCAGCAGATGTGTTTGGTTTAAGTCATCATTTTTTTTAAAGTCAGGGTCTTGCTATGTATTTCAGGATAGCCTTGACCTCATTATGTAGCCCAGGCTGATTTGAAACTCACAGTAAACCTCCTGTCTCCACCTCTTGACTGCTGGGATTATAGGAGTGTGCTACCACTCCTGGAAAGCAAATGAACTGGGGTATGATAAGTACAATGCCTTAGAGCTTTGCAGAAGCTTTGAAAAAGGAGAGGAAGGGCCCTTGAGTTTGTGATGGTGGTCCCAGAGTTGTGTGCAAACTCTGTCCCTGAAGGTTCTGGAGAGAAGGCCAGCCTACTCTCAGATCTTTCTTCTTTTTGCATGTCCTGGGCAGAACCTTGTTAGAGGTCTGCAGGCTTCCTTTTTTGGAGGAGTAGGTAGTCTTTGCTATAGCTATTCTTGACTTTGCCAAAGCTCTTGAGAGGCTGAGGGCTTCACAGTAGATACAGGATCTAATCAGACTGCTCTGCAAAAGCATATGGGCCTGTTCTTTTCCCTGACTGAGAAAGAGCCCTATGAGTTTTCTCTGCTCTTTCTTCCTTGCTGGATTATCAGACATAAATTTCCTTGTATTTCTTTCTCTCTTTTAATGTGTTTGGTACAGGGTCTCTCCACAGAGCTTAGACTCATAATGACCCTCCCGTCTCAGCCTCCCCATTGCTGGGATTACAGGCCTGCACTACCATGCCCAGGGCCTGATTTTCTGATACCTCATTCCTATCTTTCTCTAGCTGTTTGTCAGAATTTGTGCAGACTTTGCCTTAACATCTGATAAATCATGCCTAGGAAATTCTTCAGACCTACCACATCATTTTTCTGAACAAAGCCTGACCACTGAAGAATTTCTACAGTGTTCTGTGAATTGCATCTTCTTAAACCTGGCCATTGTCTGGTTGTAGCCTATT